TTTGGCTTTTTGATCTCAATATTTGACAATGGAGTATGCACCAGTAACCTACATTTGAAAATATTAGTAAATGTATCTTGTAGAAACAGCATAGATAACAGACTTCCCTGGCTTCATAGGCACAAGTTTGACTTTCATATTTTATATTCCAAGAAATTCCATAACCAGCAATCAGGCTCTTCAATCCTTTTCCAGCTGCTTTTTGCTCAAATTCTTGTCTCCAGACACAAGAGCCAGTGATTTCTTTACTACAAAGTCCAATTGTGCATGTAATTTGATTGGTCAGTATGGGCAAAAACACAAGATATAAAAAGACTCACGGCTGTAGTCAACTCATTCAAGTCATGAGAATCATTTCTGTTTACATTTGAGGAAATTTCATTTCCCTCCTTTTTCCCTCCACCATTTTTTCCACCCTTCTTCCCATCCTTTTTCCTGTAATTTTTCCCATTTTCTCCTTCCTCAGTATCATCTGAGTTCTCCTTTTCATCACCTTTAAAATCACTTCTATTTCCACCGTTTGAATCATTATCTTCATCATCATGTTTCTTACCATCCTTGTCCTCCTTGGTTATCTTTGGCCTCTATTACGAATGATAAAATTATAAGATAAAAATAAAAATAAAATCAAGATAAATAAAGGGCCTTAATAAAAAAACCCGCATTTTCCGCGTTTTGACACGCTTTTGCTGCGGCACAGCACACGCGCAATCCTTGTTTAAACCCGCTTTTTTAATTAATTTATTTTGCCATTAATTTCGATTTTTTTTATTTTTTAAAGTTGTTTCCTACACTTTAAAAGGTGTAGAATTTAATGGTAAAAAACATTTTCCATAAAAATGAATTTTGATTATTAATTATTTTTTTTCACTCATTTTTAAAGTAATTGTTTGCATGCATGTATGTACTTTATTTTTTAAGTTTTTTTGAGGTTTTAAAATCATTTCCTAGGTTTTAAAGCATGCAGAATTTAATGGTGCAATCCAATTTTTTTAAAACTCAACGGTTCACTTTGAATACTGAAATTAGACACTTTTTTCACTTAAATTTTTACAGCTTAATTTTCATTCTTTTTTCACTTTTTAAATTTATTTCCCACACTTTAAGACATGGTTAAAATGATGGTAAAAATTTTTTTGCATAAAAACTAAAGATTGGTAATGAATACTGCATGGGACAGGCTTTTTTTTATGTTTTTTAATTAATTTTTACCGGCTCCATTTTAATCATTTTTTGAAAATTTAAATCTATTTCCTACATCTAAAAGTGTGTAGAATTTAATGGTAGAATTCATTTTGCCTCAAAAGAAAAGCTTAAATCTTAATATAAGAGTGTACACCATTTCTTGCATAATTTGTGCTGTATACAAATTTTCTTTGAATGCAAAATGGATATAGCCAACAATTTGAAAACCTTTCAAAGTGTAGGAAATGAACTTAAAATTCCATAAAATAAGGATAATTAAGTGTGTAAGAATTAATTAAAGAAATATGTCAAAGGCTTTATTCAAGGTACATTTTTCATTTTGATGCAAATTGATTTAAACCATAATTCTATACATGCCTGAAAGTGTAGGAAACAGATTTAAAATGTCAAAAAATCATGAAAATTAAGCTCTTAAAAATCAATTGAACTTTAAGGCTGATTACAGTATTCAGAATGAACCGTTGAGTTTTATGGAAATTGAATGTTACCAGTGAATTCTAAACACTTTGAAATGTAGGAAACAACTTTCAAATTTCAAAAAAGCAGAAAAAATAAGGTAAAAAAATTAATGCAAACAATTGAGTGAAAAAGTGAAGAATTAAATAAAAAAACGGTGTCAAATGCACAGTATACAAGATGTACTTGTCACTTTGATTCAAAATAATTTTTACCATAAATTTATACATGTCTGAAAGTGTAGGAAAAAGGTTTAAAATGTGAAAAAAGAATGAAAATTGAGCTCTAAAAATTTAAGTGAAAAAATGGGTGTAATTGCATTATTAAAAATGATCCATTCATTTTTATGAAAATTGGATTTCTCCAAAAGTTTCTACACACTTAATAATGTAGGAAACAACTTTAAAGTTACACAAAATCTTGAAAAATGAGGTAAAAAACTTAAAGCAAACAATTAACGGAAAAAATCAGTGAAAAAAAATAATTAATAATCAAAATTCATTTTTATGGAAAATGGTTTTTACCATTAAATTCTACACCTTTTAAAGTGTAGGAAACAACTTCAAAAGATCAAAAAAACTCGAAATCAATGGCAAAAAAAATTAATTAAAAAAGCGGGTTTAAACAAGGATTGCGCGTGTGCTGTGCTGCAGCAAAAGCGCGTCAAAACGCGTAAAATGCGGGTTTTTTTATTAAGGCCCTAAATAAAAATGATAAGAAGAAATAAAATAATAAACGGAAACAAAAACATAGTAAAATAATATAGCAAAGGAAACCATTGAGGTGATAATCTTGAAATCTTGAGGCTTAAGGATATTGAAAAGTTGAAACTAGAAATTTGAAATCCAACCTTGAGGGAGCCTGTACTGTTTGGAACACCACACCGGACTCTTCAGGCCCTCCCTGCAAAGGTTAGGGTAAGAGGTGCATGCTACTCCACCTTTTTGGGAAAAAGTGCGCGCCCTGTTGGCACAAACCAGGGGATGGTGCCAACAACCCTACACACAAACCCTCATCTTGCTACCCTACCTCTTTCTCTGGTACCCTCTGGAATCAATTTCGATTAATTGATCAATTTTTCATCAATTGACTGATTGTTTAATCAATGTATCACTGAATTAAGCAATCAATCAATTGATTGATTACCAGGTACCCTACCCCACACTGACATTGCTTCCCCAGCCCCCATCATCTGTTACCTAGCTACCCTTGCCATTTATGTGTCTAGCTAATGACCCTTGCTGCTACCCTTCTGTCACTGCCAATTGGCCATAAACTACCCTTACTCCCTCATCTCTTGCCCAGCTACCTCCTCTGTGCTTCTTGTAAAAATGATAAATCAATCTGGTTGTTTATGACTGCGGGACCATGTGTGATCTTGGGGCCCTGAAAAAGGCTACAGGGGACCACTGGCCATATCGGTCATGAAAATAGATTGAGTAAGCTGTCAAACACTTGTAACAAGCAGAAGAGAAGGGCAGAACTCCATGTGTGTTTGCGGGCTCAAGCGATTGGGAGTTGACATCTCTACCTTGCAATCTATCCCGGCTAGCAACAATTTCACTGGCACACCAAAACCAGTCTCTATCCAACAGTCCCATTTGACAAGGACACTTGCAAACCTTTACGCCATCCAACCCCTAATGAGGTCACAAAGGCTTGTAAGCTTGCTAATCACAAGTTCTTCCTAACAAACTTTGGTCACCTTCCCCTATTGGATCCTAATCACAAAGAATTGGACATTGCTGTCATGGAATTCACCCCTTGGGTGATGGAGTAGTGTTTTCTCTTTTTCTGTTTCTGGTTTTTCTTTTTGTGCTTCACACCTTTCACTGTTCATCTCAGACACATGTCACAACATCAAGAGTATAACTGGGTCAGAGTAGGTGAAGGGATTCCTCTCCTCATCCTTCCAAAAACCTCCTTCTCTGCCCCAGGTATGTCTCCATCTGTTTTTCTCTTTTTTTTTTTTTCCCTTCTTTCCTCTTACTTTTCCTTATCTGAGGTTTTTGGTTCTCTCTTCATTCATGCAATGAGCTAATCCTTCCACAAACCTTCTAATTCTCTGCCCCAGCTGACAACAACATTGGAATCAGTTAACGGAAACCAAAAAAACTTCATTTCAAATTGGAATCAGTTAACGGAAACCAAAAAACTTCATTTCAAACTTTCTTCATCAATCCAAGGATTTGACAATCCTGTGGGCTCTTCCACCCGCTCTTGGGATGGTAAAATGTGGAGATATGGTTGGAGAAAGTCTCAGGACTTCATGCAGATATTTGGGATTTATATCAGACAGTTTGCTCCTGATAGGATGAAAAAGTTTGATAATCTTTTCCAACAATCCAAATGTCTTGGGCAAATTCTTGATGATCATTAGAGGTTATTAAATCTAAAGAAATTCACCACTTTTTAATAGGGGGCATCAAATATAGGGGGTTGGAAAAACGACTCCCAAAATTTAGTCGACGACTCCCGTTTTGGTCGGGAGGTCGTCAAACGGGAGTCGGCGGCCTAATTTCACAGGCGATTTTATATATTTTTTTTAATGAAAGTTCGGGATTCGTCCGCCTAAAGGGCGGGAGTCGGCCTCCCAAGTTTAAGCCTTAATTTTTCTGATTTTTTTTTTTTCCTAGGGAGTCGTCAGGCCAATTTCCCAGACGGAAAGGGAGTTGCTGGCCCAATCATCCACTGGTCTTTTTTTTTGCCTCGCAGGAGTCGTTGGCAAATTATTAGGAGTCGGCTGGGGAGAAGAAACCTTGTTTCTTCTCCCACGCAGGAGTTGCCGCTCCACACGGGGGTTGATAACCGCAAGCCAACCCCCTTTGCGCACGCCATGCGCAGATTGGCGTGCGCAAAGGGGGTTGGCTTGCGGTTATCAACCCCCGTGTGGAGCGGCAACTCCTGCGTGGGAGAAGAAACAAGGTTTCTTCTCCCCAGCCGACTCCTAATAATTTGCCAACAACTCCTGCGAGGCAAGAAAGAGGACCAGTGGATGATTGGGGCCAGCAACTCCCTTTCCGTCTGGGAAATTGGCCTGACGACTCCCTAGGAAAAAAAAGAAAATCAGAAAGATTAAGGCCTTAAACCTTGGGAGGCCGACTCCCGCCCTTTTAGGGCGGACGAATCGCGGACCTTTCATTAAAAAAGAATATATAAAATCGCCTG